TTCGAAACCGCCTTTATGACCGCACATGCGCGACTGAGAACTGTGTGGTCTGTCCCAATGGCAGTGAGGGAGACTGTCTGGAATCTCATAACGGGGACGATTTTGAGGTCATCGTCGAGGTCGTGGCGCGAGAAACCCAGACAGCCGCGCGCAAAACCCTGGAGGCGTTCTGGATTCGAGTCAGGCAACCAAAAATGAACCGGACGGGAGAATGTGTCTCAATAACGCGGGAACTTACCCCCTACATAAGGTTGGCCATCCAGCCGGAACGGTAGACTCTGATCAGCCTGGTTCACGCTACTATCGTCGTCCTGGTGGGCTGGCTCTACTGATCTCGAAGGTACGGTTCTAATCTCACTATTAATTACGTGATGACTTATCTGGTAACGAAGGTCCCGTGGGGGGTGAAACATTTGGTCGAATAAATCATGATTTGGTTTCCACCTTTTTTAGGCTCTGAAGAAGGCAAAATTCGCCGAAACGTCAGCCGACTTATTTGTATTTCTCAACCTCGTGTTCTGTTTAATAGAATAAAGCTGTATTGGAACTATGCCGAGGTTCGTTGAGAGTCGAACATGGCAACAAAGTGGAGGGTTAACCGATCGGGTATTTTTTGCCTTACGGTTGAAGGAAATTTCACTGTGGGTTGTTAGACAGGAATTAGAAGGGTAGAGAATGAAGAAAGAATGGAAAAAAGTCCACTCGTTTACAACATCTATCTCCCGTCGTATTCTTCTTTCAATGACCATCGAGCCTTGGGTACTGACCGTCAAAGAAAAAAAAATTTTGCAGCAAAAGGAACCAATATAAGTCACGATTCGACAACGTAATAAAGTGTGATTTTCAGATGACAGCAGCATGGGAGCCTTTTCCGTGAAGGTGATCATGAAAATGAGTGTGCAATTATATAGAGCTCATGTCCACCGTCAGTGAAACTGACCTTCATCCTCTTTGACTTGGTAGTGTCATGTTCGATGAAACTCCACTATCCATAGCGTAAACCTTGGATAAATGGAGAAAGAAATTAGTAAGTGAACGGAGCTATCTCCTTATCCTATATCATCCTATATACTGTTTGTTTCTTCTCATCTACACCTTTCCAATCAGGC